TGATACCGGAGATCAAACTCTGGTCCTTGCGCTTGCGCATTCTGTAAGTATTTTCAAAAGATATGGATGAGCTAGGAAGTGCTGATACCAGAATACAAGAAGTTGTATTCCAATAACATGGTTTCCTAATCCTGGTTGGGTCTCCACAAGCCTGAAGATGATCCTCAGATTTCAGATACATCTGCAAGAATCACCTTGACCAAATAACCCGAGCCAGGATGGAGTTAATTCTGCCTACTCAAAATATGTTTTTGTGGCTCATTCCCAAGATGGCACTGTATATATAATCCTGAATTGTGCTTTGATTGCTTATTCATTATTCTATGTCCTATGATGAACAGCTTCTATTGATACAACATTCTTTATTAACTGAATAAACAGCTCATTAAAATACAACTTACAGAATTGTATCATATTTAATTCCTGCTTTTCTAATGTAATATCCAGTTAATATTTTCTTTGCAATATTTATATTCAGTGTTCTTAGATATTTCACTCACACAAGTGATTGACTTCAGCAAGTGAGCAACTTTGTGGAAATTTTACTATTTTAGCTCTTACTGTTTCCAAGGTCTTCAGGAGCATCTCACTGTGACCCACCCCTGTGTACCACCTTCAGATTTATTCATGTAAACTCAAGGAAGCACTTACTTAACAATCACATGATAAATGGGAACTCACTCACCCCACTAGGTTCATAAATACCTGCTTAAATTTTTTCTAAATACTCATGGTTCTTTTTTTCTTTTCAGGTTAGATTTTACTTGTTTTTTTAAATGTGATCTTTCTCATTATTTCAGTAATTTCCCATACATCCAAAGAACACACTAATGTCTATGCTATTTGACTTTAGTCTATCTTGAAATTTTCCCAGACCAGTCAGAAAATAAAGATTGCTTAGAGTGCTTGTCAAAGATTATCTGCAGGGTCAACCTAGAAATCAAAATCTCTAGGGTATATCCTTGTTAAACTGTATTTTTTATAAGAACTAGTGATTTTTATCAACTGAGAATGATAAGAGCTCTAATATAAGCATTAAATAGAAAACTGGATCCTAATCTAGACTCCACTCCCACCCCACCAGGTAGATTATGGTACAATATTTCATGAAACTCTATTCATGTGATTTTAATATCATCTGTCTTATTATTTTACACCATCTCTCCATGGTCTTGAGTCTTGCCTAGGTCTCACTTTGCAACTTGTTTCTTCCCAAATAACACTGCATTGTTTTCAAAGAGCCACCAAAGGGTGATGAGGAGAAACTGATGATTCCTCTTTTAGGACAAAGCTGATTATCTAAACAACTCCAACTGTTCTCAACCAGCACAGAAACTTTTCAGCACAGACTGGCTTCTGTAGCAGCAAAGAAACAAGTCATTACCACAAATAATTGTATAACTTCATACACTATATAGTGTGAAAATAAATTATATAGGGAACAAAAGCAAGGTTTTGAATGTCAAAAAAATGAGGGCTAACAAGGGCTTCCATTGGAGAATGATTTATTTACAACGTGTTAACAACATAAAGTAAGAATATCCTAAGTGCTCACTGAACAAAGCACTGGCTGCTGTGATAATGCTAAAAGTAATAATAATAAAATATCCAGGATATGCATTGAGTTATTGCTGTATTTCAACCACTCTTCTAAGTTCTTTACATGTGGTAATTTAATGCAAACAGCTCTGTGAGTTAGTATTGATAATATTTAATTCAATTTCATCTGTCATTTTGTCACCTTGACTTTCCAAATGAACAATCTGAGTAAAGAGAGATTCAATGGCTTATGTTGTTTACAAATCAGGTATATGGAGGAGCTGGGATCAATGTAATTTGAGGCAAACCCTTCCCCTTTATTTTACTTCTTACAATAAACTGTCCTTGAAATCACATTTCCCTTTCTTCTTTGCCTACAGACTTCTTTAATAGAAAAAAGGAGCTTATGTTCTTAGAGATCTTGGTTTGGGACAAACGTCTATATCCTTGAATTTGACATCTCTTAAGCATACAGGAGATCCAGATAGATTTAGGGTAACTCAAAGTAAAACACAAATCAAAACGTACTCCCATGCTCATCCCAGCCTTTGATGATAGTCAATCACTATTATCTCTCATATATTCCCTTACTAATACAGAAGTGCTGAGATATAAATCCAGGTGAGCATATTATTCATTTCTCCTATCTCAGCATCTTCACTAATAATCTCACAAGCTGTCATGCAACTGAAGTTAAAGATATCTCCTTCTTGAGCCAGCAGTTTTAAATAGATTAATTATTTTCAAAAGTGTGGTTAATTATTTTAAGGAAAATATACAAAATATTTAAAGACAACAGAAAAAATTAATAAAGTCAAAAACTTCTTTTTAAAATGGCATCAGCCCAAGACATTTTAATTCAGTTTTAATTTTTCATGGAACTACCCATACAAGAAGTAATTTTAGTGATTATGTATTCATGTATGTTTTGTGTTTTTATCTGTAGATCCTAAGTCTCAAGTGAAATATAAGTACTTTAAATAAAAATGTGCCAACTAAACAAGAGTACTATAAAACAAACCCATTTGAATTCATGAAAAATTAATAGTAAATAAATTAATCTTTAGTCAGTTATTTCTAATGTATTGAAACACATTAAATTGTGAATGGTAAAAGTGGCAGAATTAAATATACAGAAATGATTTTTTAAATAAAATGTTTTGAGTACAGTAGCACATTAATTAATTTGAAATCTTATTAAATTATAAGATTTTTGAATAATACATACATATATTTTCAAATCCACACTATCTCACTTACCATTTTTGAATATATATATATAAAGTATTATAGTGAAAGTGAGGGCTAAGAGAAGAGTAACTTTTGTTGCTATCATTATTTAATGTTAATTGTTATAGATAATAAAACTATTGAAATAGAAGAAAAATTATCAATACTAATATTTAATAATTTTTAACATCATCCCTGATTTCTTTCAATAGTAAGTTTCAACAAATCCCCCCTCTGCTGTAACAACCTAAACCATACCCAATCATTGCCCATGAAAAGACAAAATCACCCACAGTTCTCTAATTAGTAGCATCTACTCTTTCAGATAAATGCAACTCTAGACTTCCCCTCATAAATCTTAAAAACATGCCTCAAAGGAATTAAGAGAAGCTGCAGTTACTGCCTGCCATGATATATCTAACAACTCTAAAGGCAAAATAGAAAGGTATGCACTCAGTAACATAAAGTCAGAATGACTCAAAT